TTATTTTTATCGTAGGAGTACGCAATGAGGGTTGCAGAGTGGATTATATTTGGGGGTAGGGGGTGGGGTTTGGGGAGGTGCGGGGGATTGTGTACCAATGAGGGAGTTTTTCTTTTGCGTTTCAAGGAGAGGAGCAAAGGGGGGGAGGGGAGAGGGGTTTGTGCGGAGAGAGGGGTGCAACAATGAATGAATGGAATTTCAAAATCTCTGTAGATGTTCATTGAAATGAAAAATAAACAAACTAAATTAAATTAAAAAAAAAAAGAAAATGGACAAAAAATGGGGAAAGCACCATTACTCCATCTCTGAGGAGCCCTGTTAACTGAAGACCTTCAACGAGATGCGTTGACACAGTGATTGTAGCAATGGGCTCAAGTGTGTCAGAGACAAGGAGGACTGCACGGGAGAGGACAGAGGGTCCTGTCTGTTTGAGCACAAGGTGGCCGTGAGGCAGATTCGACTTGATGGCACCTTGCCAGGAGGGGCTGTTCCTTGAAGAAGGACATGCTGCTGGGAAGGGTGAAGGGTCAGCGGAGCAGAGGAAGACCCTCAACCAGGTGGACTGACACGGTGACTGCTGCAACGGGCTCTTGTGTGTCAGGAAGTGTGAGGATGGCGCCGGGAAGAGCAGAATTCAGAGCTTTTGTTCATAGAGTCACTATGAGTCGTACTCGATTCAACAGCATCTAACAACAACAACATCTACATTACTGATGAGGAAGCTCTGGTGGCTCAGTGGTAAGGAATCGCACTGTCAACCCAAGTACAGGAGGTTTGAATCCACCAGCTGCTTCGTGGGCGAGATGGTCAGTCTCTTGTGCAATTTACAGGCTCTGCAAACCAGCTGGAGGGTCAGCTATGAATGAGTCACTTCCGACTAGACGGTGCATCACAGCAACAACACATTACTGATTGGAGTTAAGGTTCTGGATTTCCAATAAAGTAAAAAGTGATTGATCTGGGAGTCTCCACATGCTGTAGAAATCACTTCCCACGCACCAACATACACACACACACCCAGCTGCACCATCAAAGCACTCCTGAATCAGCAAAATGAAATTTCTTTACAATGAGGACTGGGCTGCACCTTCTTAAGCAGTTTCTCTTCCCTGGGAGCCTGAAGGAGAGGAATGTGCAGCGTTTTGCTTAAACTCCCTGCTTGAGACACTTGACAGGTTTGTCTACACAGACAACTGGTCCGTCAGGATCTTGAAGCATGATGGGAAAAGCCCATTTCCCCAGCTTGTTGACACAGATTATTCTTAGTGGCAGAGAAGCTGCAGCCTCACGTTATTTGCATGTAGAAACATACACGTTTATTCGCCTGCAGACCAAGGAAGGACTCAGCCTGTGGTTGGAGACAGCAAGACAGTGATGAATAAAGGGACGTCTGGACCTCGAGTTGCCTGACACCACTGCTTACCAATCAATCCCACGTTGCTGGGAAAGGCAGGGAAGCAGAGCCGAATCCTCAGTGGCTGAGTCCTAACCTGCGGGAGAGGAGGGGAGTCAGGAGAGCTGGGTCAAGGGAGGGCTTGATGGCTGGCTTACCTGGCTTAGCTGCTTCCTTTTTTTTTTTTTTTTTTTTTTTTTTTTTTT